ACCTATGTAGGGGGCATTGGCCAAGGTCTGTATTTGGTTGGCCAAGTGTTTTTGGCCAGGTCCCATATTGTCCTTTTCACTGGGTCATTATAGTGCACTAGGATGTATTCCACGGAGTCAACTTCCCCCTGACATATCTGGCATCTTGTCCTGTGTTCGTATGTAGGTATTTATGACCAGAAGTCACCTATGTGATATGCTCTTTCTTTTTGACTGACAGCATGAAGGAAATGTTCCAATATTGAATACCGATCTAGTAAGCATTCTTCACCTATAAGGGTGAGTGACATTCTCAGTCACCTAGTTTCTTCCATGTAATGACTACAACAGCTGTGAGTTCATTTGATGCATCTAGTGCCCTAATGCACATTAATAATTGAGATTTTCCAGACAATTTTTTTTACTCCTTCCAAACATAGACACCTATCGTCGTCAATGCTATATTGGCTGGTAAGCTTATTGCGATATCTTACTGGTGCTGACTTGACTGAAATATTATGCAAGTCTCATCATGACGACTCGGATATATGCCATGTTTCAGCAATCGAAACCGATACTTATCTTTCTCATTGTAGCCTTGCTGGCTTCCACAATTGCCTCCGGAGGTATGCTAGGCATAGGAAACATTGGTATCTCAGGGAGTAAGCTTTGATCATTGATAGAATCCTTAAGCACATGAGACTCATGGATGGATATCAAGGGCTGGATATATCTACAAGACCCATCCGGACCTTCGGACATGTTATCGTTAGTACTTTGAAACAAGGGACAGTACTTGGGAAAGGGGCACAGTGTACAAGCTGAGGCCGAAGTCCTTCGAATCTGATCCTACGAGATAATATGACAATCCTGTGGCCACGAAAGCTGCATATATCATAACATTTTGGAATACCAGGACCCACAAGGGTTTTATACGCTGCCTTCTTGTTAAATGAGTGTAAGGTGCCACATTCAGTTTTGATTACTACATCCTCCGCTGTTGGAGTCTTCCACACAAGTGACATAACCTGAAATGGAGTTAAATATATCAACAGTGCATATACATCAACACTGGAGTACCAAAAGTGCCCTGGTCGCAAAAGGTTTTTATCCAATACTGGCCCAAGAAGGGATCCAGTGTCCGGAAGAAGTCAGATATGTGGGAACACATTGGTGGCTGGTTGGTGTCAAGTTGAAGGGAAGACTTAGGTCTGAGTTGAAAAGTTGGTTAGATGGTGTTAGTTATATGATTATTCACCTCTACAGTACACATTTCTATGTCTTCTATGTGGTGTCTTATTGGTACTGTACAACTCCACTACACCATTCAATAGATCGGCAATTTACTCTGAACTCTAGTCTGATTTCTTCTGGTCTCTCAGTAGCCTCTAAAGCGGCCCACTTCAATCCCATCTTAACAGATGGTGTCCCTCATAATGACTAGTGTACCGGACTTTGAAAAACATGTTCCAAATTATCTAATGAGATATTCTATACCAAAAATCAAACCATAGGTTAACGGAATGTTATAGATGCTATCATATATCAGTATCAAGTGCTGCAAAATGAGATGGAGATGGATGGCAGCTTCAAGGTCATTGCAAGGGGTCAAATAGTTGACCATTTTGGAAACACCACTCGCCTGACTAAGTCTCCATGCACATGACATGATTATTCCTGAATAACATTATAGCAGGTTATGATTCAGTCTTCAAAGCTTGAAGTCTACATACGACCACTGAGACACATCTTGCTCTGGACATCAACTGGGGATCACACTCGGCAGTGGGAGCCTCATGGAGGCTTACACCACACAATGTGGTTTTGCAATGCTCGCAACAAACAGATATCACGCCCAACCTTTGGCATAACATGTGTTCATTTTGCAGCTCCGAGGCTAATGGACAAACAAAGTAATTTCATGCGACAGATGATGTAGAAATGGTAGGTCAGAGTGTGAAAATGGGTGTGAGGAGGTAAACAATAAGGCTGTGGTGCGATAATTGCAGCACCTTGTAGCCTTATAACTGTCACACCAGTCAGAGGTCTGAAATCCTCCGTTCTGTTGCATCTATGGATAGCCTTGACCTGCTGTTGCTTGGCATATGCCTGTGCAGGAGAGATTAGTTGGGGTCATCGAAAGAAGAACCCTCATCAGATAAGTGTTCAAGGCTTACATGTATTTAATGATTTGTAAGATCTGTATCTTCTGCTTCGATCACAGACGGTGAACCTTCAGGTCCGGACTGTCAATAACTATTAGTAGTTGACATTGTTGTCATGTGCTTACCGAGACGTGGCATTAACCAACAACCCAGCTTTCCCTACAAGACGCTTGACTTTGTCCAAGCTCCTTTTCTGCATTGCCAACCAAACACGACACCATGAGACTCAAGCTCCAACTGATGCCATGGTAGATATTCAAAAGGGTTGATGATGACTGTAGTCAAAGCAACATTCAATTTGCATAGTGCAGGTATTTCGGACTCTTGAGAGCAATTTGAACTATCACCCTTGTAATTGTTCAAACAAAGACTAACCTTAACCAAGCATGATGGTGGCGACAGATGAACACACTTTGCATCACTTGCAAGAATGTGCCAGTCTGTGTCATACAGTGGGTGCTCCCACCGGACATGCTGTTTGACATAATCCCAGTTGCTCACTAGACAATCTTACTGGCGACCTCTTTGCACACTTTGAATGAAACAACAATAAAGACCACTTCTATAAGGCTGTTCATCTGTGATGTGAAGCACTGGTGGCAGTATGTCATGCTGATGATGATCAGCTTAGTTAGTGTTCTCCCTGGCATTTTATCACATACTCTTGGTCATCACTTTAACCACCACGGTGATCCTTCTGACCTTTATGAGAGGATAGGTATGACTGGAAGCATCTGGATTCGAGAAGCTAAGTTGACATAATCGAATTAATGTCCTGAAACAACAATGTAGATCAGGGAAACCAACAATTGATATAAGACTCTGTAACCCCAAGGCAAATACTACTTTACTCAGTCAGTCTACTCATCAATTTTCTGATTTGTATTGAAGTATCAGAGTTCACTGGTTGCTTCTAAGATTCCACTGAACTGGAAGCAGGGCACAGGCTTATCTACTGTAGCTACATACATTGATAGTAGCCCACATTTAAGGGTGATTTAGTTACTATGCCTCATCTGTAAATATCTGAAGTTTGCACAGGCGTGAATTTATGGCCAGTTCTGTAGACAGAAATGTCAATGACAATTTGAAGTTCAACCAAGAGGCAGAATTTGTATTTATTCTAGGGCTTGTTGTGGAAACTTGGAACCAAAAAGCCCCAAGACGAGGTAGTGTACATAACGGCTGCTAGCATCCAGCGAGATTGTCACCCAGCCCTACTCTCTGTTGTTGCCAACGAACTGTTCCTGAAGATATCCATGATTTTGGATTGTGCATTCTAGAGCTCCCCAGACCTGGTCATTTCCTGATGTCTCTGTAGGCACTTATATGATACCCAACCTTCTGGCTGCCCTGCCTCTGTCTGTTCTATAGTGCCTTTCTGTATTTCATATGCTACAAATTCAAGTGTTGAGCTGGCTACCAATAAAGTCAACAAGATGGCACTCATGTGTCATCTCAAAGCATGGCCCAACTCCATCAGTTGGACTGGACATCCCAAACTACTTTTACAAAAACATGATGTCTGCGCAAGTCAGTATCTGTTGCACTTCCTCCCATTCCACTCATATGAGCCTACATCATGCCGCAGTAGGGCGATGATCAGCGCACATATGGAATTGACTCTAGTTTTGCATACCAGGAACACCCGTGAACATAGTTTCCTCGGTTGATCTAATGCAAGTTGGGAAAAATGAGCCGATTTCCTTTGCAAGGTTTCAATAGGAACAGGCGACGAATATTTGCATGACAGACTTTGGCGAACTGCAACAATTTGGAATTTGGGTCCCTTGATGTTGTTACAATAATTTTTGGATGTGAATACCAGCCTGTGAGTATTCACCATCGATGTGCATTGACAGATCTGATCAAATGACCTGGTAGATTCATTAGTAATTTAGCACCATACATGATTCTCGACTACTGTGGAGACAATGACATCCCATAACTCTCTCTCAAAGCTTTTGTCTGGTTCCCTTTAGGACCTGCCTCTTTTCCAACTGCCTCTCAAAATGCAACCACCAATTTCGAGAGTTTCCACAAATTGGTAGGGAGTTGGATGCATCGAGGGCTATGAACAGCGCTGTGCCTGTGCGCTCATTACCCTGAAGACCTGGGTCATACGCCAATGAAGGTAGATCATAGTTATTTAAAACACCTATCCACTTGCCATCTTTCCAAAACCACATCAGATTTACAGAGCTGACATCTCGACAATAGACCCCTTCCTTCTAAAGAGTAAGGTAGCCTGCACACCATGCCATGTCAATAGAGCCACATAAATTAAATCAAACACGTACATAGGATGCATTGACACTATATGTTGAAAAGCTCCTCAGACATGGGTTTTGTGAACATGGTGCCAGAGTAGCTCGGAAATATGGTCTTTCATGATGTCATGCATCTTCGTGATCTCCTTAACCTTGTTCAAGATTTCTGGCTCGCTAGTGTGACTCACTTCTCCCAAAAAGATCTTAGCTACCATCCCACCCCAGAAGTTGCTGTATTTCTTCATGAGTGCTTTGCTGGTGACAGAGACCACATCATGCAGTGAGTCAGGTAGATGCAGCATGTGTGTTACAACTGACCACACTCTACACCAGTTCAATCTAGGATGGAAGCTTGCGCTCATCAAGAAAGGGCTTGCCGACAAATCTCTTCTCAAGATATACAGCGCCAAGCATCTGCCTGTGATCTCTGAGATGCTTGGCGCGACCTAAAATCCTTCTTGGTCAAGAACTCAATGAACTGTCACCAGTCAAGTCACACCATAAGATAGACTGAAATAAAGATTAAGCTTGATATTGGGTGTATACACTAAGGTAACATATATTCTGAGGTATATTACTTACAGGACTATTCCTGCTCTATTGTGACTTCAGCAGGCATCGGCTCCATGACATGGATGTATGCAAGTTTGTATTTGCACAGCTTCTCAACTACGTAGGAGAACTGGGGTTTGGGGTCTGCCATGCCCATACCTGCACCACAAATCAGCTAAATAAAGATCACTAGTATTGAATGATGTGGAACGTACCATTGAGTATGCCCCAGGGGCTCATTTAGAAACCCGTTCTCTCAGCACCAATGGCCTCCACAACAGCATCTGTTACTTCAAGTGCAATCACTAGCCCTGTTACCAGATGACTTCTGGATATCGGAAACGCGTATAAGACTAATCTGGATGGATCCAGACTAGAAATGAACAGAGTATAGACTATCCGAAATAGAGTTGGAAACATAGACTATCAGAATCGATCTGTAGTCTTGGAGGTTGACATGAGTTGAAGGCTCAAGTCCAGAGGACAGAAAGAGAACAAACTAAGATGATATTTGAACTGAGATACTACAGGACATATACACGAGCTTATATACTAAGAGGATAACAAAACAATAAGTAAGCAAAGGTCAGAGGCTATTACGAAACATGTGCAAAGGTTATCAAATGCGAGTCGGACATGAAGCATAGGTTAACGGATCAGTAATCATACTGGTAATAAGTATAACTGAAACACTGGGAAGAGGAAATACCGAATAGGCTGTGTTTAATATTAAATGAACAGGAAATGAAATAGGAAGCTTATCGGATATTGGATCAGAAGCGGATCTATGCATCGGACTGGACCAGATCTCAGGGTCCGAAGTCTGGAAGAGAAGCGTGAATATATGGGATATGACAATGTCTATGTATTGGGGAAAGCCCTTGTGAGTGTGCATATTGTCTTGGCAGTCCTACTGGCTGACTGAAGTAGGTAAAATTTCTATGACATATCCATGACTGAGGTGTTGTCCACCATGATGTCAAACCTGAAAATATCCTGCTCCTGATTAATGGGGAGTTGCAGCCTTATTTGGTGGATTTTGGTCATGTGAAGCTCTACCACGACCCGACTAGGAAACACAGACTGAAATCAGGTGAGTGCACCCACAGCACATTGCCATACATGAGCATCAATGTTCACTCCCATATATGTGAGTTTACTTGTGTATCACAATGTTTTGTAGGCTGGCAGGCTACAGTCGGCGAGACAACATTGTGTCCTTGGCATATACACTAATTTACTTGGCCAAAGGATTGCTCCTGTAGTGTGGACTCTCCTCAGCAGAGTGTTTTCAGATGAAACAAAGCTTTTGGGTGTCTGACGTTACCCCATCTTTACCTGCTACACTAGGATTGTTCCTAGATCATGCAGTAAATCTCAGGTAATTATGGCTGTTTTAACTCTGTTGATTGCTAATTCTGGTTGATAGTTATGCAGAGGATCCGGTGTATGCGTACCTGGAGAATATCCTGAATTAGACTTGCCTTTGTTTCTTGGGGAGGTTTTGTATTTTTGACGTGTCTTGACCGCCTTCATTCCCAATGAAATTCAAGAATGAGGTAGATATGTGGAAATAGACATCTAAGGACAGAACACCAAAACTTCGATTTTGTGCAACATACAAATAATATTTTTATCTTTTGAGCTTTTGACAAACTTCACTCGAGTTTGATTTGGTTTACACAAGGGTCATTGGACCATAGTACCTTAGCATACCACATAATGTGCAGTGTTATTTATGAATCTTTAACAGGTTGCCCTGGAGCATGTGAAGGGGTATTCAGAGCTTCAGTATGAGCTAGCCAGAAACTTCGAAGTCCACCCAGGGGAGAGGTATTAGATATTCAAAGGCTCCTTTATTGGTAACTGATATTTGGTCTTACTAAGGTTGCACAGGTGCTGGTTAGAGCACCCTTGCACCTGTTCTTCTGCTTCATAGAATTTCTATTACATAATGGTAAGGTTCCTGAAATAAACTAGTAGCAGTTATGGGACTAACATTAACTTCACTCAGATAATGCGTGATGCTCTTGATGTTTACACCCAAAAACTCATTCAAGCAAAGCATGTGAGCCTCCTTTGCAAATAAGATGTCATTGGCAAGGTTCTGCAAGACCCTTACTAATGCTATTACCATTAACTGGAGGATGACTCCGCCACCTTTGGTTTTAAGACTCACCTGATGATGGGGGTTGGATGTATCACTTTGGGCTATGGGCCTGAAATAGAGATACATCTGTTGTTGTAATCATCCTCCATCCAGATTGATGTCCTCAGGGTGAATCATATTTTCCTATTTTTGTCACCTCCTTGGGCCTCCCTATTATCTCCACACTCCGCATTTTTAGCCTACTGTGGGAATCACCCCACAACACCCAAAACATCAACCATTTTTGGGAATCTCCACAATATCAATTATTCCCACCCCCTTCCCACCTCACTGCAGCCTCACCACCACACCACAATAGCCCCCTCTTTATATATAAGTAGTAGTTTAGCATATATGTATATAATATAATATAATATAATATAATATAATAGACCGCTTTTTTGTTTATTTGTGTGCCTACTGCTTCTCCAGGGCTCTTTTAATATACATAGGATGGGGTACAGAACACTTTGGCATTTTTGCCCCTTTGGTAGGTAAGTGTTCCCGGGTACTCAGGACATGTTTATGAGCATATATGAAGAGATCCACATCTTTATTTGACCCCCTGAAGCGTCCTACATCAATAAATATAGCATATATATGAAAAAACACAAAATATGTTCCCAATTGATTATTTCTAGATGGATGTACTTGAAAAAATGATCCCCAGCATATATTCAATAGTAGGACCAATGCATCAGGAGCTCAGGACCATAGGAAAAGATCTTGTTGTGTAATGTATCTCCTCTCTCCTGGTGGTTTACCCCCTGTGAAATTTGTTTCTGTAGGACTGGATCTCAATTGAGGTAGGTGGTCCATCTCTATATATATTTGGAGTAGATTTATCATATAGCCAGCCCAGGACACACATAGGCCCCATACCTTTAAAACATCAAATTTGAATAATCAGAAACTTGGAGGACATTTTAAATACATTCAGTATCACATACCTACATGTATAGAACAATCTAAGAAGGATTGAGTGCTGAGGGAGTGGAATAGATAAGAAATTGAGTGTGGGAAACTTCAAATGCCCAAAACATCGAAAATGGTTAGTTGAGTAGTTGTTAGACTTTTATGCTTGATCAACTCATTTTACATTACATCCCTTCCATTCACCTTCTACCCTCATGGCAGTATGTAGTATAGGTTTCTTGGGTAGTTTATAATCTATTTTACATATTTTCAATGAAATCTTCATGTATAATTGTAACTTTGTGTGACAAAATGATAATGATGACCTTTCCTTCGTTAATTAAATCCCAAAAGATATCGTTCATCATGGTTTGAAATGTGGCCGGTGAATTGGTTAATCCAAAGAACATGACAAGTGGTTCAAACAGCCCTTGATTAGTGCAGAAGGCTGCTTTCCATTCGTCACCTTCCTTGACACGCATATTATTGTATCCCCATCGAATATCGAGTTTGGTAAAATATTTTGCCCCTTTGAGCTTTTGGATGAGTTCTTGAATAAGAGGTAAAGGATAATGATTTTTAACCGTTATTGCATTCAGTTTTCAATAGTCTTGCACTGGCCGAAGAGCTCCATCCTTCTTTTTAACAAAAAAGAACATGGAGGCAAATGGTGACTTTGAGTTTCGAATTTGTCCAGACCAAAGATTTTCTTCAAGGAAAGAGTCGAGCTCTCGTTGTTCTTCTGGGCTCAAATTATATACCTTACAGTCAATTGCATGTTCTCCTGGGACTAATTCAATAGCATGATCCCAAGGTTTCCACGGAGGGAGTTCATTGAATGACTCTTTTTTGAAAATCTCTGCGAAATCATGATATTGCTGAGGTACCATTTCCTTGAATGATTTTTGAACCTTAGTCTTAGACGCTTCTTCAGCCAATTGCTGTGAGGTCGTAGTGTGTGCTCAAATATGATCTGCACCAGCTTTCACATACTCCTCATAATCAAATGCAAAGATCCTTTCCCCATCTTCAAGTTTGAGTTCTGGTTCGGACTCAACTTCTTCATGCAAACAACCTATCAATTCTCCCGCATCCTCAGGTTCATACTGTGATATCAGATAACCACATTCTTTTGGACAACAGTCAAACTGAATAGTCCCTTCTTGCCAATTGACAGATGGGTTATGATGCTTCAGCCATTCTAACCCGAGGAACAAGTCTCCACTTCCAAGGTTAGTTACCCCGAAAGTGATTCGTTCAACATGGTTCCCAACTGCCAATTGCAATACAACATAATCAGTAATAGAACCCCCATTATTTAGGGATCCATCTGCATTATAAACAGGGACAGGTCATGCAATCTTATGTGTATTGAGTCCGTGTGCCCAAACAAAACCAGCGTCGATAGACAAGCCTGTACAACCACTATCCAAGAGTGCATGGGTAGTAATGCAATGACGGTCATCAATAGTTGTCAGTGAAGCAGGTAAAAATAATGATTGTCCCATTCCATGAATGTACCGTTTTGGTCCGTGCAACTCTTGAACAGCTGTTGCCGCTTCTTCAATGGTTAACTGATTTAATTGCTGGAGCACCGCATTTTCACCCGTGGATCTACCACTTCCACACACCTCAGTTCTCAAGTTCGAAAGATTATTGATCGCAACCCAAGGCAGAGGGTTCGTGTCCGTTACCTCAGGTGCAGGTGATTTGAACACCTTTTGCTCTTGAAGCATCTTCCAAACTTTCAAACCTTGGCTTCTGTTTCCCTTAGACAAGAGCATAGGGTTAGGAGTTTCACCTCCAGCCCTTAGCTCATCCTGCGCTTCATCTGTTTCATCAATACTAAGTCCTGAAAATCGATTCGAATTGTCCGTATGTGACGGTGTACAGGATAATGGTGATGACGAATATGAATGTTTGGTTGGTAAGGGCGTGCTACCTTCCGACCGCTTTAAAAACCCAAACTCTCAACAACTCCCTTCTTTTCCTCTTCGTCAAGACCATTAAGCATCTGACAAATAGCTTGAACATGATTCTTGCAGTTCCATGCGATATGACCAGCTTGGCCACAACGATAGCAGAGATTGCCTTCATGAGCATGTTGACGGCTCAGGTCCATGGGTTGTCCATGACCTCCATAAGTCACTCCACTGCCATCCGCTCGATCCGTAGAGGTTGGTGAGGTAGGGTTAGATTGCGATGTTGAGGGTTTATAAGAAGGATAGTAGGTTGGGTTGGGGGTCTTACGATTAGCCCCTACATTCTGTCGAGCATGGCGTCGTTCAAGAATCCGACCTTTAACTAGAACTCGTTGCGTCCACTTCTCAAGATCTCAGCAACCATACATCTCCGGTTCTTCATCAACCGAATCAATGATGTTGATATGAGCATTGGTACGAAGGATGTTAATAAGATGGTCCACAGTAGTAGTATTGGCTTTTACGTTTGAATACTCAGCCATGACGAGAATCTGCATCCAACGAGTTAGGAATTCCTCGATGGGCATCTTCCCTTGAGTGAATGTAGCTAGATGTTCTTGCGCATCACAAATTTCATTGATGGGAGAAAACACCACTTTGAGATCCTTGATGAACGTATCCCAATCCCAACGATGAGAAGCTGATTTGGCCTTCTCACGGTCATAGGTCAGGGCTGCCCATTCTCCAGCATAGCCAGTCTTCATATAGGACATGGTGAAGATGATTTTTTGTTTCTGTGTCAGCATGATAGTATCCTGACTTTCAAAATACATGAGGACATGACGAAACCATGCCACAAATGCATCTTTCGAGCCATCAAAGTCAGCCGGCTTCAAGACCTTAAAGGCCTTAGAGGAATTGGCAGGGTCAGACAATGGTGGTTCATTATAGGGGTAGTGTGTATTGTGGCATTTAAGCCGAAAAAATGTGGATAATAGTTTCAAACAAGTTATGTGGATGTGTTGACGAGTTCGAAGGACTAGATGAGATGCGTAAGGGTGTTCGATGAGATGAGTTGCAGGCCGATTATAAATGTCGTGCTTTTGTCAGACGTCTCAGAATCGAGGCACAACTCAGACAACAACTATAAAGACCTGAATACTGAAAGAATTGACAATTTAGCGAGTATTAATACATATCTGACACCAAAGATACCTGAAAGAATTGACAAGCACGATGTTAGGAGAAAAGGAGGAAAACCGATTCTGTGAAGACAAATACCAAACGAGCAAGCTAGAACAAACATTGCCGTATCCTGTGACCGAAGTGGAAAATGTATGACAAGGGGGTATTTCTACTGATCAGAAGTCTACATGGTGATGAAACCTGTGATAAGTGATCAGAGAGTTGGGATAACTCTCAATATGTCCCTGATGATAGCTCTAAAAGTTTAGACAGATCCATGAAGGATTGACTAAATGACAGGCAAAATGACATATGTGTAAAAGTGATGATTAATCTTGACGACATCATGATCTTTACCAAATCCCAAGAAGAACATCGTCAAATCACCCGTCGAGTACTCAAAGTTCTCCGTCAGCACAAGTTGTACCTGAAACCCGAGAAGTGCGAATTTGAGGTGACTGAGACTGAATATTTAGGTCTCATTATCTCAGAAGGTCAAATCAAAATGGACCCAGTAAAAGTAAAGGGTGTTTTGGATTGGCCGACCCCAGTGACAAAACGAGAGCTACAAGCTTTCCTGGGGTTTGTAAATTTTTATTGCCGCTTCATTCAAGGGTACAGAGATTTGGTGAAACCTCTTACGAGCTTGACAGGAAAGATGGAATGGTCTTGGGGAGAAGAGCAGGAAGGCGCATTTCGAGAAATTAAACAATGAGTTTCATCTGCACCTGTGCTCACCATCCCTACTGATGACGACTCATACCGTGTTGAAGCCGATAGTTCTGGTCGAGCGATAGGTGCCGTTTTGTCACAATGTCAATCTGGCACCTGGAAGCCTATTGCATTCTTGTCGAAGACACTATCTGAGACAGAACATAATTATGAGATCTATGACCATGAACTACTTGCTATCATGACTGCCTTGGCAGAATGGCGACATCACCTTATGGGAGCGGTTCAGGACTTTGAGGTCTGGACAGATCATCAGAACCTGGAATACTTTCGAAAACTGCAAAAACTTAACCGTCGTCAAGCCCGGTGGGTGACAGAACTAGCAAACTATCACTTTTCACTACACCATAAACCCGGGAAGTCCAATCTTAAAGCTGATTTTCTGTCGAGATGAGCAGACCATGAGACCGGGGAAAATGACAATGAGGATGTTACCATATTAAAGCCTGAATTCTTCCGCCCAATCGAACTAGTCACTGAAGACAACAATTTTCTTGCGCGCGCACGCCAGAGACGCGGTAATCGAGATTGAGTAGTTGATAAGATGCTCCTATCTAATGAAGCAAATTGGATGGATGAAAAAGACCTTATTCTGTGGAAGGGAAGAGTCTACATCCCCATTGATCATAAGCTCTGGGAAGATATCATTCACGAGCACCATGATTCATGCACTGTAGGACATCCGGGACAGTACAGAACACATGAACTCATCACACGAAACTATTGGTGGCCACGAATCCTGACGGACATACGAAAGTATATTGCAGGATGTCAAAGTTGTCAATATACCAAATCTCGGACTCTTAAGCCAGCTGTCCCTCTTCATCCAAATGAAATTCCCTCCGAACCTTGGGAACACATTTCAATTGACCTTATCGGCCCCCTTCCTGCATCAGCAGGATATAATGCTGTGTTAGTGATAGTGGACCGGTTTACCAAAATGATCAAGGTCGTACCTGCTCATACCCAAATCACATCATCAGGGGTGGCTAGGATACTGCATGACCAGGTTTTCAGACATCATGTTTTTGTTCCTGTAGAAGGGGCCTATGTGTGTCCTGGGCTGGCTATATGATAAATCTACTCCAAATATATATAGAGATGGACCACCTACCTCAATTGAGATCCAGTCCTACAGAAACAAATTTCACAGGGGGTAAACCACCAGGAGAGAGGAGATACATTACACAACAAGATCTTTTCCTATGGTCCTGAGCTCCTGATGCATTGGTCCTACTATTGAATATATGCTGGGGATCATTTTTTCAAGTACATCCATCTAGAAATAATCAATTGGGAACATATTTTGTGTTTTTTCATATATATGCTATATTTATTGATGTAGGACGCTTCAGGGGGTCAAATAAAGATGTGGATCTCTTCATATATGCTCATAAACATGTCCTGAGTACCCGGGAACACTTACCTACCAAAGGGGCAAAAATGCCAAAGTGTTCTGTACCCCATCCTATGTATATTAAAAGAGCCCTGGAGAAGCAGTAGGCACACAAATAGACAAAAAAGCGGTCTATTATATTATATTATATTATATTATATTATATACATATATGCTAAACTACTACTTATATATAAAGAGGGGGCTATTGTGGTGTGGTGGTGAGGCTGCAGTGAGGTGGGAAGGGGGTGGGAATAATTGATATTGTGGAGATTCCCAAAAATGGTTGATGTTTTGGGTGTTGTGGGGTGATTCCCACAGTAGGCTAAAAATGCGGAGTGTGGAGATAATAGGGAGGCCCAAGGAGGTGACAAAAATAGGAAAATATGATTCACCCTGAGGATATCAATCTGGATGGAGGATGATTACAACAACAGATATATCCTTATTTTAGGCTTATAGTCCTATTTTGATATATCAATATAACACTATAGGCTGTAAGACTTTGTTCTTCTGCCTCCTCCATACCTGCCTGCATGGCTGCAAGCCATTGTAGCCCTTCGAGTGCAACCTGTTCTTGAGTCTTGCGGGTTTCCTGGAGAATTCTGTTGTCCTTGTGGCCTGCTATCTGGGCCTGTGATCATCGCTGGCGTCCTGGCAGGTCAGGCAAACCTGGGTGTTTTTCTGCATTCTATGGGCAAGTGCAGGGCCAGGACATTACTGACAAGTAGCTAGATTAAACAAGGGTAAAGTGAGCTTTAGATGGGTAGGAAAATGTAAGGTGCCATTTGGACGACAAATTCTAGGTTCAAAATTCACAGTTCAAATTGCACATGATGGCAGCACATAAGCAGGATCACCTGCTACATCCATCACCATCACCATCTAGATACATACCATTGTTGATATGTCTGATAAGTCTAGTGCTATCTCGTCACATTCACCATGTTCTCGAGGCACTGTCAATGTGGTATTGGTCACTCATCAGAAAACCTAGATTTTTCCTGATTTATCTGCAGGGCCTGATAGCAGGACATTCAGCACCATCAGACATTAGACATTGTCTGATATCAGAGAGGTCCACTTCTGGTATCAGACATTTCAGACAGTTTGGTGAAAACTAAAGAAAATAATTACTGCATATAACAGGAATTGAACTCATATCTTTTGAAGTGTAGGTTAGATCATGTGACTATTACACACAACTTCAAGCCTCATTAACCACTTGGCCATAAGACCTTTCATATATACAACTATAATTTATATATATACCACACTCCACTGACTTAGAAATATTTTTTGTTTCACTTCCTCAACTATTACTCTATAATCCTTAGCTATCTAACAAACTTTGTGAGATTATTTGAGACAAGTCTATCACTAGTTTTGTCCTGTCCATTTGTTGACATTTAAAGTAAAATATAGTATACTATGCTACATACAAATGACCTAGTAATCTGAGATGTCTGACACAGTCACTTAAAAAAGTACAATTGGACCAAATTACTCATTTGTATCTCTGTAACAATTACAATACTATATTTTCTAGTCATGTGCAATGTGACATTACAGTTCAGAACCTACTCACAATAGAGGCAAAATATTGAAAATGCCACTTTCAACTATATCACCATGTTATTTTTGATTTTGGGTCATTTCAGGAGAACACAGGGCAGTTGATTCTCAATAACTTTCATTAAGCAATGAATACAAAACTGTAGTTGAAAAGTGGCAGGCAAATCTAATTCTAATGATCTTGGTAGATCTGACAAACTGTTACATCTGATATTACTCAATGATCTGACTGTCTGATGTCTGATGAAGCTGATATGTCTGTGAATCTGATGTCTGATTTGTCTGACCATGCTGATAGCCCATATAGCCTGTGATTCTGACCTCTGTTGTACCTAAAATTACTGATCTGCCTGTTTACCTGATGTCTAAAGTATCTGATTAAACTGATAGGTCTGTCTGACTGTATGCTGATGGTGCTGATGGTGCTGATTTATCTTTTTAGTGTCTGATATCAGAGCAGTTGTCTGAAATCAGATTTTGATCTGATATCAGATTCATCAGACATCTCAGATAAATCAGGAAAAATCTAGGTTTTCTGATGCTGCCTCTAGCGCAACCCGCAAGCCTCCTGCAATGTGGACAAAAGCGGAGGAAGGTGCCTTTCTGGACTTCCTGCTGCTTGCCATACCTTCATCTGGAGATGGAGGCTTCAAGATGCCTGCCTTTAATCAGGCATCTGCCAATCTCAAATTCAAATTCCCACATCAGAGAGGTGCAGGAAAGAGTGGTCTAGTTTGCAAGACCAAATGGCAAGTGGTATGTTTCTATTAAACCCTTTCAGTCACCAGCAATGTCCTCATGTGTTTTTATAGCTAAAAAAAGCATACTGCAGCATTATTAAAATCAAGTGTATGTTGGGCTTTACGTAGAGTCATGAGCATAGAGTGAGTATCACAGATAGAAAATATGATGTTTGGGCACGCTTTGTCAAGGTATGCATTATGATAGATTGCACGCCACCACTCCTTCATGACGTTGTTTTCAGACACACCTTTATGTGGAGCACTTCAAAATCATAGAACAATTGATTTCAAGCAAGGCCAAAGACTTGCATGTATTCTGACCCACCGCCACCAGCAATGCAACCCCTCAGAATTCTACCACTTCCATACCATCTTTGATCTCCACCACCTCTATATCACCTTTGATCTCCACTGCAATTAATAATGCCACTTGGGGGCTGCTATCATTAGTAGATCCCAACTTCCTCGAAGTACCTCCTTTCTCTATGTTTCTCTGTTCCTCCACCAAAGGTTCTACTGACTCGGTATGGACAAGCATTAGCCGCAGAAAGTGCAAATTCAGTGCTATTGCTCCTGCATCTATTGCAAGTTCTCAGAAATGGAGTCGGCTGTCATCTGCCATGCTGTCAGTGCAGCAGAAGGGTACTGAAACGATGAAAAATCTCATTGAAATCGTGCATGAGATACAGAAGAACCTTGTATTAGCTCCACTGCAACTGCCGGTGCAACCACAGCCTTCCACACATATTGGGAGGGCTATTTCTTTACTCAATATGTACACGGACCTTACTAGTAAAGAGCACTTAGTCATTGCAAACTTTTTAGCTAAACACAAAAACCAGGCAATTATTTTTTATTCGTTGGACAAGGTGATGAGGCTCGAGTGGTTGGAAGAGAAATGTGTGCTTTGTGGTGGTGCGCTGTGAGCCTCACAGAACCATATGACTATGTTGTAGCATGCTTGATTGTTTTCTAGTACAAAATTTGTATAGTACCTGTAACTACAGCAATGGGAGTCCCCTTCATTTGCATTCCTCAAAATAATCACTCAATGTATCATTTTCTTACACCTTCTCAAACCTCTTCAATCAGAAGATATCTGTCAGGGTGATGCAATGGTAAGCTCTACCTTTCCCTCTCCTTTATGTCTGGTTGCTTATAATTGTCTTCTTTCTATCTGTCAATCTTTATTCCAATTAGTAGCCCACATTGCCTGTATGGAAGTGCCAAGGATTGAAAGGGGTAATGGGAGGATGTTTTGGTTTAAATCTGTTTAGAGATATGTATTTATTTTATTTAACACTGCAGACACTTGCTATACAGAGGTATTTACTTGATGTGAAGATGCTAATAAGGTATTGCATAGAGCCAATGCTTTGTACTTGACAACCACATATCAAGTGTAAATCAGTATATATACTTCTCTATGGATGCCTTTTATGTAGCATAAGTGGAGAGTCCATACTCAAGTTGCTCCCTTAGGAGTTTCCAATACAGCATTTAGTCATAATAATCTGAAGGTGGGCTCCCCAAGTCACATGACTGCCATGTTACACTCCTTCCTTTGTTCTTTTTAATGTGTTTGGCCACCTACATGATGATAATTGATAATGCACTTCATGATGTTATCTCTTTGTTGGGCATGGGTCTAAACAAATGCTTTGTGTCGAAAGTCATACAAGATCTCAGACAAGTTAACCTTTCACTTGTCTCTCAACTCTCCCTCCCTTTTTCAAAATTCTAGTTGTAATATTTTGTATCTGCATTAAAACATTCATCAGCATAGTCATAGATTGGATAGTCACTGGAATTGCAGGTGAGCATTGCTCGTCTTCAGCAAATCCTCTCCCTCAGTGTATGCTGATGTTTGTCTTTTCATTTTCCTTAGCACTATGTACCACTGGTATAATTGCTCCATTTGCTATTGATGTACTATGTGCAGCTATTTTTGTCAACCAACTTAGCAAAAACCATGCAGAAGTATTGAAGTATATCCTCTCAGATTCCAAATATATAAGTGTAGAGTCCAGCACCTATATAATTTTGTGCATTTCCTAAATAAAGATTGGAATATCTTCTGCCCAATTATTAGGCTTCCCACTGAACTCATTCTCCATGTTCTTTCTTTGGTAGCTTAAGATAAGGATGAGCTAGTGTCTCTGATAGCCTGTGGTGTGTCTGCTGTGTCCTCCAAGCTGTTACCTTTCATAATCCCTGTTTGTGGTATCATACAATGGACATGGGTGCTCCAGAGAGCTGCATTCTCATTGCTTTAGAATACTTACATCTTCACTATTTTTGAATTTCCATTGACTTTCCCAAGGAGTTCAACTCAATCACACTATTGAATCATGAGCTCAATATCTCACATGTTATGAGATCAATGCATCACATACAGTTATTGAATCTCAATTCAGTCTTGTCACAGTTTCTTCATCAAGTCTCGGGTGAATTCCAAAAATCATCTCAGTATTTTGAATATTTCGCAATAGGCACAGTTGCAGGCCACACTGCACATGTCCCAGATGCAGTATTCATATTAGATGTATCACATCTACAAAACCTTTGATTGATTCATTGTAACTTCTCATAGAATGCCTTCTGTTTCTACAATCTTCTTGAGCTCTGCATATTTGACATCTCTGGCAGCCATGAAGTCAAGCCATCACTCAACACACTTCTTGATGTATTATCTTTATTAGTGCCATTTGACCTGGACTACATTCTTGATGTCAGACCGCAGTTGATGCTACATGCTTTAGAGATTTTGGAAATTGAAGCACTGTTGCCAGATTGCAGTCTTTCTCTCTAGTCTTGATACCTCTTTATTGACATTACTGAAAATCTGTAAAGAAAGCACACTATTTACTGATCTGATGCAAGATTTCTTTAAATCTATTCACTGCAAAGTCCAGAATCTTATAATCCACACACTTCAAGTCTTCTGCTACTCTTTTCACTGGGAGATAGCTGGAATTTTGCAAGGGCTTCATATTGATGTACCTTCTCCAGCTGTCTCTTTCCATATCTAAGTTGGTATGTCTGGTACACATACCTTATCTGATATACTCATAGGTATGAGCTGAGGCTTTTCAGTCTTCCTGGTACACTGTCTGCAGTTTTATGCCTGTGAGAATCTTCATAAGAATATTTTGATCTTAACATGACATACCTTCCTATCTGACTTTATGGCTGCCAAGAATCTGCACCTTATCAGAGTTTCATCGCCTATACAACTTTATTGTCTGTAGTTGAATGCACATACATGTGGAATTCCAATACCTTCCCTCACTTTATTTGAGGTCTTACTACTTGCATGCTAGTATATTCAAATCTCAGGCTCAGGGATGGTAGCTGATTTGTTCTTCAGTGATCAGTGATTGTGAGATGTCTTTGGTATCAGTTACTGAAGGCATGCACTGCTTAGGTATCGCAAAGAGCAGCAGGGTCAGAAGACAGAATTATCAGGAGAATATAGATGGCAAGCAATTTTATGTTATATGTAAGTTCAAGATACAAGAATGAACATAGAAGGTTATGAGGTATCTAGTTTTTTTCATGACTCAGCTTTTTTGCTTCATAAGGTAGGTTACTTGCAAATCTCATGAATGTCACATAATTAGTGTTACAGAATCATGACAAAACTGGAAAAAAACGACAACTAATTAACGATGCAGTGAAAAAACAAACACCTATGCTTGTCGATGTAGAATATAGTAATCACTGCAGGCATTTCCTCATTTTTCTCCACCAAACATCCAAAAAACATTGAATTAGAAGATGGAAATTTCCTTGCATTGTGTGTATCAAAACATTGGTCATTTTTTCTCAAGAAACAGTCTATATTTTTCATTCATCATTCCTCAAATAACAATTTACAATCATGGTAAATTTTTTGCCTCAGTTTTTTCAGTGTTCTGTTTATCAAAAATCTCAATTACTTCATCCACCATGATTGTAAATTGTTATTTGAGGAATGATGAATGAAAAATATAGACTGTTTCTTGAGGGAAAATAACCAATGTTTTGATACACACAATGCAAGGAAATTTCCATCTTCTAATTCAATGTTTTTTGGATGTTTGGTGGAGAAAAATGAGGAAATGCCTGCAGTGAATGCACCATTGAGCATTTTCAAAATTATCGTAAGTTGTGAGATGAAAAAGAAATGAAGTTTTCAGTGTTCTGAATAGGCCTGTAGAGCTTAAAATGAAAGTCTGAAAGTAATGCTGTGTTGCCATGCGTGCCATTCCATCCTCTATATGGGCAGCCACGAAACCAAAGGTCAAAAATGCCAGATACTAATTGTATTACTTGCTACATATTCCTTAATACTCAACTAGCACTTGCACATAATGTCATCTACAATGTTTGGCACATTTGGCACACTCGGCACATTTGGCAAGAGGTTATCTGCACAGTGTCACAACATAGTCACATCATGTAATGCTTGTTGGATTTGCAAGTTATCTACCTTACCACAACTTGCAAGGTTATTTCTGCTCGACTATACACTCCTTTCATTGCACTCACCTACCACTCAACATATTTCTCTCAATGGCAGAACAAAGTCCAATTCATTTTGTGAGCTGCTATAGCCCACCTGCCCAGTCATGGCTCACTCTTGGACTCCTGTGAGATTTGAGTTGATATTTTGAGCTAAAAAAACTAGGTTGGTTTTTTGCCCAAATAGCTTCAATCATTTATATGTGAAGCTAAAAGAAACTCGCCCATCAATCTTTGATCTTGAATATGCAGGATCTGGTTATAGGGCTTATCAGCAATGTAAATGATTGTACTAATAGCATAATAGAATCAATGTGTAATAAGATAAATATTTGGGAGCTACTGGTAATTACAGTCAGCTGATTTGAAGAAAATATTTAGGAGTCCACCAGTAATTGTGGTCAGCTACTAGTAAGCTACATAATTTGAAGAAGTTGAGTTGTGGAGCTATTGGAATTACCTGACAGCACCCAGCTAATGGTAGCTAACTGTAATTACCCACCAGCTGACAGTAATTACTGCTTAGCTAGTTGAATATACGAGGAACTATTGGTAATTACAACAATTTCCCTGGCAAAATTCTTGATCTAGAAACAGAGCAGCTACTAGTAATTACCAGGACTAGTCACTAATCAGAAGAACCTGCACATAGCTAGCCTGTAAAGTGTATAATAATTATCTAAAGGAAGAAGCATAACAGAAAAGTATAAAGGACACAAAGAATGCTGCCCACTAACTATGCAAGGGAAAAGAATAAAAAGAACACAAAAGATGCCACCACCAATTCAGTGCCACAGAGGTCCAATTGGGAATATACTAGTCTCAAGTATATTTTTCTTGATCTGCCTATATACAGAACAGGCAAACAATATCAGTCTGAAATTTATTTGCCAGAGTTTTCCTAAACATTGTGCTTTCTCTGTGAGAAATAAATACTTAAAAATACACTTGAACTGCAGGAAAAATTGTACAATAGTTTTCCTTTGTCCTGAATCCTTTGTTCTGGAATATGCATGAAACAAGTCAGCCTTTTCCCAAGTGGAATATCTCAGTAAAAGGTGTCATTTTCTCAGTGACAATGTCTCTGCTGACAGGCCAAACTCCAGTCTTCCAAAAATCCATGTGAATAAGATCTGGTGTGAGCACATGAAGATGTGCCTGTCCATAAATTGTCAGGAAGTTACTTTTCATGATTCCCTCCCTTTTTGCCTTTCCCACTTATCTCTTTCTTCGCTTCAGTATCTTTTTAGCACAGCAAATATAACCACATCTAACCCTTTGTACACATAGGTTGCATGTGCAGAGTAGCATATGATGTGAATCTGATGTGCTCGAGCATATTGAAGAAACCCTCAAGTGTAATGTGAATTGTGACCATCCACAATCAGAAGGTGGTCCTATCCATTAGCCTTTTCTTTGATGTGTTTGTCAAACTCTTTTATCTACTCAACACTGATTTCTCTGTCTGTCCAACCTTTTTTAGAGTATCTAATGCTATTGAAAGTCAACCATGATCATCAGCACATAATTTGTCATCATTGGTCAGTATGCTCATGATGCATTTTCAGGGTTATCTTGCTTCCATTTGGCTTGATAAGCATTGCCCTTGAATATAACTGCTGATGGACTCAACATGCCATCAGCACAGATGGTCACTATCTGTTAAGACCATGTACAAAAAGTAGAACTGATTCTGAGGGGCTTGGCTTCAGCTCATGCACTGTGCCCCTTACCTGAGTATGTGCCCTTAATTTCAGATTGATGTCCAGAGAAAGTCTGAAGGAAACTTCAGAAGGACTTTCTGGATGAATGCAAGTACAGTTAATCACAGGTCATTGAAATGCGAAATTCATATTTAGTGTACTACACCATCACATCACAACTCTGAGGCTCTACTGTATTTTTCCTGTATAGACAGACATCTCATGAATAGATCCATATAATTTTTATGAGTAAATTCCTAGTAGTTTGAGCACCATGGTAAATATAGTGGGGGGACCTCGTTTTCGGGATTTCTCACTCAATGAAACACGTGATGATTTCCTTATCCGACATTATGTAAGCTATCTACTGAGCCTTATCGTTCGTCATCACTGTCCTCTGAGCTGTCCTCATCTGGCGCCATAACATCTTCTGCACTCTCATTATCATCCACCTCACAGGTATTGAACCTTGGCCTTGGAACAGGAGGCTGTAGCTTTCCTAAAACTGGTTTCTTCGAGGTGAATTTCTGCTTTGAAAGCTTGGCCTTTGACTTCTCCTCATTCCAGATCTCCACTGCTTCGCGGTATCGAGTGCATTGCTCGTTGTTCTCCCGTTTTCTCGCATCTTCAAGTCTTTTCCATGTGGCCAGAGCCTCGGACCTTCGTTCCCTTTCCTCCCTTCTCGTTTTCTTATCATCTGCTATTCTTTTTTGCTCTTTCTTGTGATTCACAACCCTCTTGTAAAATTCGTCGCCGGACAATAATCAAGGCAAGCCGTCGCTCATCAGCTTGCCATTTTTCTTCTTCAATTGCTTCTTTGCCTCTTGGTTTGCTAGTTGTCTGCGCAGTTGTGAACAATACAATTGGTTGAGAATACTGGTTGCCTGGAGCTCAATTACTCATCGTTTGAGAGCTGCATTTGCAGATTCCGCTTCATGAAGTGTGGCAAGGAGAAGTACTTCATTGTGTGTTCTAGGCTGAATGTCGAGAGCACCTCCTTGCTTTTGTTTGATTGGAGAAATGATGGCATGATCGAGTCGAGTTTCTGATGTTGCAGGTGATGTGGATGCTATGTCTGATAATGATGCCCTGTTGAGTTGCTGAACCAGCAGTTCAACATCTGAAGTTGTTGTTGACTTGGATCATGCATCTGAGACACTAACATCATCTGGTGCCTCTGAAGCCATGTTATCTGTGTTTGCTAATTTCTGCAGGAAGTTGGCAACAGCTCTGATAGGACTCGAAGGCATGATGGGAAGATGGCCCTGGCAGGAAGTTTCTTTGCTCGGTGCCATCATCTGTTCACTAATGACAGTGGGATCGAAAGGCCAGACACCAGTCTTGTGAAAGGCTGTGCCAATTAGATCTGGGGTCAGTGCTCGAAGATGAGCATGGCCATATATCGTGATGAAATTGCTTTTTGTAATGCCCTCGCCCTTTCTCTCTCCCATTTGTCTCGTTCCTCACTCCAGCATTTCTTCAGCACCACGAATACCACAACATTGAGTCCTTGGTATACATGAGTTGTATGAGAGGGATAACATATGATGTGAATTTGGTGAGCTCGTGCGTACCTCAAGAATCCCAAAGTGTAGTGCGAATTATGACCGTCGACTATATGTAGCCGGTCTCGTCCATTGGCCTTTCCTTTTGTGCGTTTATCAAAATCTTTGATGTATTCCACACCGATTTCACCATCAGTCCAGCCTTTCTTAGAGTATCCAATACTGTGTCGCAATTTGATTTATATTGTGATTTTCGAGTTATATGATGAACACTTACGATGCGTTTGCAGGATTTTCTTGATGCCATTTCATCTGATAGGCATTGCCTTTCAGAATGACTACAGGTGGAATTGAGGTACTGTCGGCACAGATGGTTACAATGACAGTGATGTTTTCCCTGCTTCCGGTTCGTTGCTGATATTGGGGTGTAGGTTTGTGACCACCAATAACATATTCGCGCATTCCCGATTCAGGTGATATACCAATCTCGTCGGCAGCATAGATACAGTCTTCATCAATGCACTTCTCTTCCAGGACAGCTCCCAGTAGTGAAAACCACTCTTTGTGGGTATTGGGGTTTACTGCCCGCCCACGTTTCGAATCCAGTGAGTGCAATCGTGAGGTCTTCAAGCAGTCAGTGTGTTTCTCAACAAACCGGTATGACCAATGCTTGCCAACACCAGGAAATGTATCTCCAAGCCGTCCACGTAGAATCTCATCAACATGCATGCTCTCGTAGTCGTCGGTGGCTAAGTGGGAAGCCTCAGTTTCCTGTTTCCTCTGTAAATGATAGAACAACCTCAGCTTCTTCCTCCGTCAGCCAGCTTTTGTCTGCCGCATTAGCCTCTGCCTTACTGCGGCCCCCTGCAGCAAGCCGGATCAGTGTGCAATATGAGAGCTTAATGAGCTTGCCTGTTGACTGCAGATTGATCTGCTCAAAATCTTTGCATATGGTCCGTGCTTCATGACGTTGAATCCTGGTGCTTTTGCAAGTTCTCTGTGGTAGGCAGACACTGCTCGAAACATAAGATCATTGTGTGCTTGGTGAGCTTCTTGCTGCTTCCTAGTTATAGATTTTGCTCGCCCAGCCATGGAAAGGTGAATACACAGTGAGCCGAGTTCATTCACTGAGTGGAATTGTAATTCAGAAGTTCGGATCTTGAATGCCATGTGGGCCTGTCACAGTGGATGCCGAAAAACCTTTGTTAGACTGTACCATGTGCTATATCACTCAAATTTCAACAAGAGTATGTTCTCTGTGTAGCCAACATGATGTTGCACTTGACACATGCAATATTTTGGTAAAATATGAGTCTTCTGAGTCGAGACTCGATGGTGAAATTTTGAAACTGTTCGATTTGGCGCTATGTAAGCGCTCATTTTTTCTGCCTCCAGCAATTTCTCAAATGGAGTTTACTTCAAACTCAACAATAAACACTGCGGGCATTTTCTCATTTTCCTCCACCAAACATCCAAAAAACATTGAATTAGAAGATAGAAATTTCCTTGCATTGCGTGTATCAAAACATTGAAAAAAAATAATGAATGTATTGAAGATTTTCTGTATGCAAGACATAATCTAAAAATGAGTCATTTTCCCTCAAGAAACAGTCTATATTTTTCATTCATCATTCCTCAAATAACAATTTACAATCATGTCAATTTTTTGGCCTCTGTTTTTCCAATGTTCTGTGTATCAAAAATCTCAATTACTTCATCCTGTTCACCATATGTTTGATCCAAGAACATTGAAAAATCATATAACAAATAATAATAAATATTTTGACAATGTTTTGTTAAGGAAAAGCAAAGAAACTTTCAAATTTTCATTTGTATATTTGATCAGAGGAAATTTATGAAACATGCCCCATGTTTTGTAAGAATAAATACATAATGTTTGCAGTATATTCCTCCTGCACAACACTTAAAAACATTTATTATATTCAGAGAAAAAAAATGAAACATGATTGCAGGATACTCTGCCTCAGAACATGCACAAATTATACATTGTTTTCTGCACACAATAGGTGGAAAATACAGCATTATCCTTGAAGGAACATGATGAATTTTTGCATCATGTCCCACACACAGAAAATCATTGAAACATAAATTATCATTTTTTCAATGTTTTGACAGACAAAATGAAGGTACACTGGTCCAAGTAGTGCTGCTAAGAACCAAGAACCATTCGGCAGGGAAATGAGAACAAAATGGTGTGACAATATAGAAGGGTTTTTTGAGAAGATTTTTAGTAATGGTGAAGCGATGAGTATAGAGGCAAGGTTGAGAGTAGGGGTGCAAGTGTGAAGATGAAACATTTTGAGAGGCTAAGACTTTCTGTAGAGCAAAGTTTGCTTTGAGCAGGGAACCAACATATGATTCTGCTGTTGTTATGAGTGTACATGAGCAGTATAAATACATTTTTGAGTACTTTACTAGGCTGAAATAAGAATGGGGAGCATATGGCGAGGTGAAAATACTTTGGTGAAACAAGGGTATCGTGAAGTTTGAGCACAAGGTAAGATAACGGAAAAAGAGAGAATGGAGAAGTGAGAGAATGTATCCACATAACTCGGATGCGAAGTGTAGAGCTTTCTCGCATCCGTGAGTCACGTGGACTTTGTGAATGACAGTTCTCAGATTTCCTTTTTGAGGTGCGGGCCGTGTGTAGAGGATAGACAATCCTTACACATGTCATGGCCCATGGGACACAGAAAATTGATGAATCCTTTAAGTCAGCCTTTCTTATGCACAACCAGCTGCTTTTGCTCCTTGACATCACTTGGCATTAATTTGCATTTCTTTCTGCCTGTGAAACTGCAGTTGGTGTATTTAGTACATGACTGCCTGAGTGCTGCACCAAGCAGTCCAGTTGTTGGCTTGTGACATGGATGGTTCACATTTGAACCCCAAAAAAACCAAACATGACCACTCTGAACAGTTTGCAAAGGTTCAATCCAGGGTTTGTCGACTCTGGTAGAACTGGACCCAGGTTTGGCACTTGCGCCCCCACTCTCAACCTTGCCTCTATACTCATCGCTTCACCATTACTAAAAATCTTCTCAAAAAACCCTTCTATATTGTCACACCATTTTGTTCTCATTTCCCTGCCGAATGGTTCTTGGTTCTTAGTAGCACTACTTGGACCAGTGTACCTTCATTTTGTCTGTCAAAACATTGAAAAAATGATAATTTATGTTTCAATGATTTTCTGTGTGTGGGACATGATGCAAAAATTCATCATGTTCCTTCAAGGATAATGCTGTATTTTCCATCTATTGTGTGCAGAAAACAATGTATAATTTGTGCATGTTCTGAGGCAGAGTATCCTGCAATCATGTTTCATTTTTTTTCTCTGAATATAATAAATGTTCTTCAAGTGTTGTGCAGGAGGAATATACTGCAAACATTATGTATTTATTCTTACAAAACATGGGGCATGTTTCATAAATTTCCTCTTATCAAATATACAAATGAAAGTTTGAAAGTCTTTGTTTTTCCTTAACAAAACATTGTCAAAATATTTATTATTATTTGTTATATGATTTTTCAATGTTCTTGGATCAAACATATGGTGAACAGGATGAAGTAATTGAGATTTTTGATAGACAAAACACTGAAAAAACAGAGGCAAAAAATTTAACATGATTGTAAATTGTTATTTGAGGAATGATGAATGAAAAATATAGACTGTTTCTTGAGGGAAAATGACTCATTTTTAGATTATGTCTTGCATACAGAAAATCTTCAATACATTCATTATTTTTTTTCAATGTTTTGATACACACAATAAAAAGAAATTTCTATCTTCTAATTCAATGTTTTTTGGATGTTTGGTGGAGGAAAATGAGAAAATGCCCGCAGTGAAACAAGGTTTACAGGATCTCTATGTATTCCGAATTATTTGAGACTTGTATTTTGTGTTGTTCTTGAGTAAACAAGGATGTGTTTCAATGACCCGTGATTAACTGTAACTTCTGGATTAATGCAGGAAAGTTCCGGAGGAACTTCCGGGAATTACAATGGGATTTCGTCCTGATACAGGATACATGTAAGGGCTACTGAGGACAAGTCATGAGTAGAAGCAAACAGAGGAAAGGCTGCAAGGACAAAGTCTGAAGCAGAAGCATCCTCAACTCCATGCTCAAGTGCTGCAATATATTCAGGTAGTCTTTGTCAGCCTTTATGATGAGTATGTATCATATACACATTGACACATAACACCTGTTAACACTATACAGACATGGTGGATCCCATATCAGAGACCGCTCTCTTGAAGCTTTGGAAACGACAAAGGATTATTCGGCCCTACTAATGAATGGATTGATGTGGGTACAGGATCACGTTGATAATAGGTTGTACTATCCAAGCCATGAGTAAAGGCTGAAAACCATAGCTTAATAGATTTTCATTTCAGCATAAATTATAGACGCGAGGTGACACTGGTTAGGGCTGTGTAATGTAGACTCCACTTACACAAGTCACAACAACATCTTGAAACAAGTCCTTGAAAAGAATGACCATCTTCCGCAGGGTGGTTGAGTCAACATCATCCATGATTGCATGTTAAGTGCAAGATGTATTCCTCTGCCTTGTTAAGGCTAGAAGAATGTACAACAAGGAACTTCGAGAGGACATTGGCTTAGGACTAAGTGTTTGACTTCTGATACTTCCTTGAGGCTGCATAAAGTGCTGCCTTTTCAGTTAGTTTCCTCTGAAGAGCGAGCATATGGCAGCAGGTCAAA